ATGTAAGCTAACCAAAGCGTAGGCCCCCCCCCCCCAACCAGCTCCTACATACAGGAAGTACAGTAGTTGTTAAGACTCAAGGTAATATAATAATGAACTTATGTTGAGGTGAATTTGCACGGTACGAGACTTTTTAGGAACTCCTCTCAATGTTTAAGTGGGGATTACCTGTACAGTAGAGGAAGTATGTGTATGGTACAACACAAACCCTTCCCATCTAATTATGTTGATAAATACAGATTTTGCCCAAGGGGTGCATTTGATACTTCCCATTTGTTTTAAGAGTGCGGTCATTAGTTCTTGGCCTAAACGGAAACTATGGTACAGTAGGGTCGGGATATATCGCGACTTTATATAACGATTTTTTTATATCGTGGCTACCAAAATTATCAAAATTTTCCTATACTGTATATAGCAATAATTTTTTTTATTTCGCGAGGGAAATCGGGCAGAAAATATTTCAATTGTACCGCCGTGGCAAACAAATGCGTTATTTTCTCACCAGAGGCGCCACCGTGGTCACTCACTCATGCATTCACGCTCGCCCGCTCAGTCTTTTTGAGTGAGTGACGAGAAAGCAGCCGACTCTGCTACAGATTATGACTTCTACGGTGAGTGTAAATGGGTTGCTAGTGATGTGAAAAGTGAAATGAAGAGAATGGAAAGCTTAATGGAACAAGATTTAATACTGTTACTAATATTTTTGGTGTTCGTTTATGTAGGTGTGGGATTGTCAAGTGGGGGTGGCAGTGTGGCGTCTGGTGTTCCCAGGATGGTGCATCAGCTGCCGAGTCTGGTGTTCCTTAATATTGATATTGAAATAGCCTGCTGTTTCCGAGTCTAGTGTTCATTGGTGTCTTAGTTAGAAAGAAAATGAACTCGTTAAGTCGAGCTTAGTCACTTTTATTGGCCTCCAAAACCTAACCCTATTTTCCCCCATTGATTACATGTAATTATATATCACAATTTAGTACAGTATATAGCGAACATCGTTGGACCCTCTCTCGCGATATATCACGACCCTACTGTACCATCTTTTATTACTCGCTCTTAAGGAATTTAGGCCCATTGCATGTTATGGTTCTTGGGAACTCTGGATTGTTAAACCTGTACAGGAGTCACCTGATTTATAAAGTACGTATATGAAATAGGATTTTATTTTATTTTTTAATTGGGCCTTTTTAATTTTATATATAAGATAATAATGGAACTTTTTAATTTTCAGACTGGTAATGAAGCTTTGTGCTGGTCAGTGATGCCCCCTCCCAAGCTCCCTCGGCTCCGCCAGTGCGGCAGCCTGACTTCCCTAAGTCTACGAGTGCTGGAAAAGTCACTTCTTCGAGCCTTTTATGTTTTGGGCAAGAAAGGATACAAGAATACACCTGAAGATCTATTAGTTGGTAGAATTCAAAACGACGCCATTACAATGCTCTGTGAAAAAGATAGTCTTCACCTTATGGAAGAGATGCGCTCATACCTCTTCCCCAAACTTCCCAGTTGTTATCGGCAACAACTGGTAGATGATATTTTTACTGCAATGGTTTCTCCAGAGTTTGATGAAAATACTTTGATAACTGATATAGAGTTTAAATTCAAATCATATGATGTAATAGCAGGAACTAGTCATATGAATCAGATCATTAAAATTTATTTAAAATGTTTATTGGTTGGCTATGTAACAAGCTTAGACTGTGGTGAACTGTATGCAATGGAAAGCTGTTGGGTGGATCGGGCTCGCACAATTTTGCACACATGGGGCAAAGTCAAGGGGGATGGCTCTGAGTTTGTTAAAGGAATAAAATCAAAGAAAGTTAATGTAACAGCAGTAGAGTCCATGTGGAAGGACTTAATATTTGAGCACAGCCGGGAAGTATGTCAGGGTTTGGTTGCATCTGCTTCTTACTTCCACCAACTGGTCCATATCAATGTTGACCATGTTTCAACAGGGAAGCTGATCTGGACAATAGGATGTAATTGTCCACTTCTAGAGCATTTAAGTTTGTATGTGGACACAACAGATAGAAGTAAATATAATGTACATTTTGAAGCTGACTTAATTAGTAGTTTAAGCTCTTTATATAGTCATAAGAAATATACACCATCCTCCTACCGTGGAAGGCCAGTTGGATGCCCTAAAATGCAGACAATGGTTATGCCTTCAGTAACAATGCAGAGAATTTTAGAGAAATGCACAGCCAAGCTCTTGTGTTATTTACCTCGTCTAAAAGAGGTGATTAATGTATGTACAACAGGAACATTTCAGGCACTGCTTGAAGAAAAAGACTACAAGCAGAAACCTCTCAAGCTCATTAATATTGATGAATCCCGTGCAAGAGACATTGGCTTAGAAGATGTCTGTGATGATTTAAAGCGTGTCTTCCCAAAGGTGACGAGTGCTAAAATAATGCAAAGGAAGCAGCGAGAAGGCCTCAGAATATTATCCAATTTTCCTGGACTAAAGAACCTTGAAATAGTAACACCAGATGATACTGAAATTGAACTTGGGACCAATTTTACCCAAATAACACATTTCAAGAGTAACTGCAAGTGGGATGTTACAAAACTGGCAGCATTCTCTCAACAAGCACCCAACCTAGGTATTTTGTTTCTCCTCTCGGGTTCCCTCCATAGGCACAAGAAATCACGGGATTTTATCTCTTTCCCAGCTTTGAGGTGTATCAAGTTACAAGAGATGACTCACATAGACCCTGAACCATTTACAGCATTGATCCGGGGTACCCATGTTCTCACTCACATATTATTAGAAGATAAGGAAATTTTTTTAAATGATTTCACGGTTAGTGTGATCAAAATCCTCAATGATACAGTTGTTACTGCCATTATATCTTCACTTAGAAGACTGGTTGTTTTCCAGGCATGTGTGAAAGAGTTTCGTGGCAACTTTCACTATTCCATGACCATGAAGAGTGTCGACTGCTTTCTTAAAAACTGCCCAAAGTTGGAAGTGATTGGTAATTTATTCCACTGGGACATTCCATACAAAGACATATTGAAACTAAAGAAAAAGGCAAAGGAAAATAATTGGAATGTTAATTTGCAATCTGTAGATAACATGTTATATACTGACATGTGAACAATGAAAAGTTTTACAGTATATTGGTTTACCAGAAGAGTAGTGTTTTTAAAGCCTTATTAATACAGTAACTCTTTGATTTACACAAATTTTGCTACAAAACAATTTGACAATATATGAACAATTCACTTTATATGATTTTTGTTTTTGTTTTAACGTGATCACCATGGTTGAGAACTGGTCTCTGAGAAGCCAGCTGCAACATGCCACACAGGATATCCCTCGATGGGCAACATTCATTCTCTCAGACCATGCAATTCTCATCTTGTTTGTTTATCAAAGTGATATGTTTATCCTGATAAATCTGCATTATCCCTTAATAATCATGAGTAAAAACAAAAGCTAGAGAGAGCAGTGCCTTTACACAAAAAGTGTTTCTGAAAGTTTTTGAAAGATCTGTAAATAGTGAATGTCTGAAAGATACTCTACTAGCACTAAGCCTTATTGAAGCAATGTATAGAACTGTTTGTGCTAATGCTGACAAAATAAAAGCTAGCTTTAAGAGTGTTACTCCATTAAGTCCACTGAAGATTAGTTGTTCAACCTCTCTGAATACAGAACCAATGGAAAAGCTGTTGAACACATGGATTGAACACAAACGTCTTGTTAAGTTTACAAGTGATACAGATGAAAGCCAATTTTGTTTTAATAACATTTTCTTTAATAAAAGGCAATAAACGTTTATAATAAACAGCACAAATTGTTACATGTTAATCTTCCTCACCTACACACATCCTTATCATATTACAGAAAGAAACCCTCAAATCTGGGACACCAAGACCCAACTGATTTTGAGGATTTCCCTGTCTTAGGTCATCTATGTTACCCTAGGTCAGGGATGGTGAACATATGGCAACCCAGAGGAATTAGGCTGGCATGTGTTGGTAATACTGTACTGAAGGTAAAGCTACATTAATTTTAAATTTTAAAGAATGGTTATTCTTTCAGGATATGTATATATTGGAGTATAATTTTAGTTTTTATTATAAAATTTCATGAATAACCCAGAGAGATTTGTGAGCCTGCAACTACTCTGTCGAATGTACATATCTGGAGCTGGTGGATGTCCACCTCACAAGGGGTCACAGCTCAAGGTTAAAGAGTCCAGAAAACTGTGAGGGCAAACTTTTTCGGTGTGAGAATTGTGAACTCTTGGAACAATCTGTCAAAGAATGTTGTGACGGCACCGAGTGTGAGCTCTTTCAAGACCAGACTTAACCAACACTGGAGCAGGTTCCAATGTATTCAGGAGCCAGTGCATGCCCAGTACTTTCCAACTGTGCATAAAAGAGACGTGACCGACCGCCCGCCCAAGCAGCTATTGAGCCAATCAGTGGTGAAGAGGATAAAAGTAAATAGTAGTAAAGTAAGGATACAGGTTGAGGCATATTATTATTATTACTACTACTATTATTGATTTAGCTTGTATGCACACTACATGACAGGGGGGTGGTTGCTGTCAGAGGCTGAATGAGATATCTAAGAAAGGATGTGATGGGAGGCCTAAGGATAGTAATGATGGATGGGCTGGCTACGAGAAGCATGCGAGGGGACAGGCTGGCTAGGAGTGGAATGAGAGGCTGGCTAGGACAGGCATGAGAGGAGGAATGGACAGATTGGCTAGGTGGGGAATGACAGGCTGGCTAGGAGAGGCATGAGAGAATGAACGGACAGGCTGTGACTAGGAGGAACAGACAGTGGCTAGGAGATACATGAGAGGAGGGGTGGACAGATTAGCTAGGAGGGGAATGTCAGGCTGGCTAGAAGGGATGGACAGTCTGGCTAGAACGGATGGACAGTCTGCTTAGAAGGGATGGACAGACAGTCTGGCTAGGATGGACAGACAGACTGGCTAGGATGAACAGAGTCTGGCTAGAAGAGGCATGAGAAGAGGGATGGACAGACGGGCAAAGAGTGAAGGACAGTCTGGCTAGGAGGAAAGGACAGCCGCTTGGGCGAACCGGTCACGTCTCTGTTACGCACTGTTGGCAAGTACTGGGCATGCACCAGCTCCTGAATGTGCCTGAACCTGCCCCAGTGTTGATCAAGTCTGGTCTTGAAAGAGCTCACACTTGGTGCCGCCACAACACTTTCTGGTAGATTGTTCCAAGAGTTCACAACTCTCACTCCGAAAAAGTTTGCCCTCACAGTTTTCTGGACTTGCGGCTTCTTCAATCTTGAGCTGTGACCCCTTGTGGGGCGAGCGTCCGCCAGCTCCAAGTAAGGACACTCGACTGAGTAGTGCCCCTTGAAATGCATATACACCTCAGTTAGGTCGCCCCTTGCCCATCTGTAGTATAAGCTAGGCAAGTTCAAGCACTCCAATCTCTCAGGGTAGTTGAGGTGCCAAAGTGCAGGCACCAGTCTGGTGGCCCTCTTTTGAACATTTTCAACTTCAACCAACTGACAGTCCCTAGTATATCTTGGGGACCAGACGGGGTGACAGTACTCCAGATGGGGAAGCACTTCACCCTTGAAGATCGTTACGAGGGACGGACTGTTTAGATATCTGAACGACCTACTTACAAGACCCAATAATTTATTTGCCTGATTTACCTTCTTCTCGCAATGGCCCGAGAGCTTCAGCTCATTGTCAACATACACACATAGGTCCTTCTCACATTCAGTCTCAAATAGTGCAGTTTCTTCATCCCGTTGGGACATATACGCCTCCTTACTGTTGCTGTCAACGAGAACAATCTCTCAGGTTCGCTGTGTTATTGTTGGATCCCAAGTGTACTCTATGTATATTTACAGTGTCTATGTTTTTCACGGGTACACCAAGTACGGGTGATTGTGAAATATGTAGTGCACAGTGTTGAGAAGTGTCTTAGTATTGCCATGGAGTGGATATTGGCACTAATGTGTTACTGGCAGTAGTCAAAAGGTCTAGCATTATTTTAATAAACCATTTTTATTGTATGTTAAGGGTATTATTTTCCTACAGTGACCACCTTTATTTTCTCTATATATCTTGGTACCATTATTACCTTTACCCACGTGTCGTACCCTCGAGCCATACTACCTCAGGTCAGAAGTTAAGTCAGAAAGTACAGTACAGTGAAACCTCGCTTTACGCGGTCAATTGAACCCACGGAGGCCCGCGTAAAGCAGGAAATGCGTAAAGTGAACAACAGAACATATGGGATTAATTGAAATAGAGACTGGGCCGACCCCCAAACTCCACTTTTTCCCGACACAATACGTACGTTTTAGTAAAAATAACATCTTAACTTTATGATGGTATGCACACACACATAATATAGAAGAGAACAATCAATAAGAGAATAATATACTGTAGGTTAGGTTAGAAAAAATCAAGGTTAGGTTTAACACTTACGTTAGTAGAAGAGATGTGTCGGCGTGCGGGAATGGAGACTGGTTCCGAGGCAGAGGGCAGGCTACTGGCCCTCAGGTGAGTCATCATCACTCATCCACACTTATCAGGGCCTCCCTGACAAATCCCTCAAAGTCACCATCACTGTCTCTGTCACTATCACTGTCTTGGGCTGACTGTGGTGGGTTGTGGGCGAAGAACTCGGTAATGCTTTGTTGACGGCTAGTGTTGATGTTGTCGTGGTACACCTTGATGTAGGGGTCCATAATCTGCAACAGCTGGGTAGTGAAGACTTCATACCGGTTATCGTCAGGGTCGTCGGAAAGGAGGAGCTTCAGTTTCTCTACACACTCGATGGCACCCCTAACATTACCATGTGTTAACTTGTGTTCTTCTTGGGATGACGCACCACCTGCCTCTTCACCGACGTCATCATCTTCTAACATCTCGTCGGCAGTCACATCAGGATCCCTTATCACCTCCATAATGTCGTCGTTGGTGGTCTCGGAGAAGCCTTTAGCTGAAACACTCTGCGCAGCTTCTCAGGCAAGGTCCACTGCTACTGCAACAGACTGAACCTCACCAGTCACAGATTGACTCTGCCTCCCACCTGGGATACCTTGCAACACATGTCTCCATGCGTGATGAACCGTTGCTACAGACGGCTGGTCCCATGCCTCCACCAAGAAGTCCACAGCTTTCTTGACATTGAATTTTCTCCAAAAGTGTTTCACAAGTACTTCTTGATCTGCCAACTGTTGTTCCTCGTCCTCTTCGCTCTTGCTATCGGTGTCACCCAGGTTACGCAACTCATCCTTGGTGTTGGTATAGTCGTTCAGGAGCTGAAACTTCTTTGCAGAGAATGCAGCTTTCACATTGCAGATTAATTCTTGGTCCATGGGCTGGATTAATGACGTAGTGTTGGGAGGAAGGAAGACCACTTTTACGTTGGGGTGACGATCCAACAGTAGGGGCGAGTGTCCTGGTGCGTTGTCAAGCAGCAACAAAATCTTGAATGGAACATTCTGTTGCTCACAGAATTTCTTCACGTCGGGAACGAAACAGTCATCAAACCAGGAGAGGGACAGAGTAGAGAACATCCACGCCTTACGTGCGGTCAGCCAGTGGACATTTAGCTTGGTCATGTCCAGGTTCTTGCGGCTTGCGTGCTGTGTGGATCACCGATAACTTGAGCTTACAGGTACCGGAGGCATTGGTGGTAAACAGGACGGTGATGCGCTCCTTCTGCAACTTCCGGCCCCGACACTTGCTGGCAGTCTTGACAACGAAGGTCTTGGAAGGTAGCTTTTTCCAAAACAGACCGGATTCGTCCATGTTGAACACCTGGACGTCGGTGTACTGTCCTTCCTCCATAATCTCACGTAAAAACGGAGGAAAATCCCTAGCCGCAACACGGTCAGCACTCGCTTCTTCACCACAAATGTTAATGTTGGTGATCTTGTTCCTCTTCTTAAACCTCTGCAACCACCCAGAGGAAGCATTGAAGGGTATGGGCTCTGCAATTCCCATCTTATGTGACACTGCTGCGTACAGTTCACGTGCGTACTCCTTAACTGAGAGCGTGTCCACCGCCATGTTCTGTCTTGCCTGACGAATCAAGTAGCTCACAAGTAATTTCTCCGTCTTGAGAAGCACCTGGTTGTGGCAATACTTGATCATAGAAGCACCTGTAGACTTTGTGATGTTCATGTGTTCTTTTATCTTGGCTGCATCCTTCTTGATTGTCCGGATCGTAGATTCGTTCACACCATGCTGGCGCGCCAAATCAACCTGTCTTGTTCCTTTCTCCAACTCTTGGATGATCTTGCATTTAATTTCGCATTTTAGGGCACGTCGTATCTTCTTTGGCTTAGGGCGGCTGGGTCCAGGTAATGCAAGGTTTCTTTGTGGTGGTGGTGGTGGTCCGGTGGCAGCCATTCTTATGGAACAATAGATACCGATATACACGGTGTAGCTGGGAGGGGTGTAACTGACGCAGGTAGGTCAACGGGCTTCAACGCTCCCGCGGCGGGGCACGTCATATTACAATAAACCAATCACAGCTAGCGGAGGAGGGAGGTAAGGATGCTTGGCCCAATCACAGTCCGATACGTCATATGACGTCACCGATAACGCAACAAAGACATACACTGCGCAACCTACTCACGCCGCTTACCCAACATGGCGGGAGAGATGGCGGGAGGTTTGAATCCAAAAATGGCGCGGCGCGAGATGACCGCCAGCCGCTCTCCGCATAAAAGAGTACATGCACTGCATAAAGTGAGCATTCCGGGTCTGGCAGGGTACCGCGTAAACGTGGAAACGCGTTAAAAAAAAACGGGTAG